ACCACCTTTGGTGACTGCATTCTGTGCCCCTTCGGCATTTAGTCATGCTGGCCACATGACCAGGGAGACATTTTTGGACAGCGCTGCCTCTTCGGCTTTGAAACTGAGATGAGCACCGCCCTCTAGAGTCGGGAACGACTAGTACATATGTTGGATTGTTGGATTTCCTTAAAAAAATAAAATAGCATTAGGATAATCAGGGATATGAATTTTTATGGAAGAAATGGAATGTCTATCTATGATAGAACTTAATATTCATTACAGTAAATATATATGGTATTTCTCTTTCAGAAGTTAAAATTCTCTGGCATTTTCATTGCACATTCCCTCCCCCCTTTCACCATGTACTATTGCTGAAATTCTAGGAGTCACTTGAGGTAAAGGAATTTTCCATGTATAATCTTAAATTATAAAGATACAGTCATAAATTATTTGTTACAGAACGCTGAGGTCAGTGTTTGCTTTAAAAAAAAATAACTCCACGATCTCAACAAGACTAAATTGCAAGAAAATATATATATATATATAAGGTAAAGGTTCCCCTCACACATAAGTGCTAGTCATTCCCGACTCTAGGGGGCGGTGCTCATCTCTGTTTCAAAACCGAAGAGCCAGCGCTGTCTGAAGACGTCTCCGTGGTCATGTGGCCGGCATGACTCAACGCCAAAGGCGCACGGAACGCTGTTCCCTTCCCACCAAAGGTGGTCCCTATTTTTCTACTTTACATGCTTTTGAACTGCAAGATGGGCAGAAGCTGGGACAAGTAATGGGAGCTCACTCCATTACGCGTGCTAGGGATTCGAACCGCTGAACTGCCGAGCTTTCTGATTAACAACAGCCTCTTAGCCACTGAGCCACCACGACCCCATTTTTAGCTGCTAGACATTAATATGTTTATAATATAAATTAATACATTTATAATATAAATTATAAAATATTTTATATTAATATCTACCAGCTAAATGGTAGGCATTAATATTAAATATTTTATAATGTGTTTTCTCAGAAAGCTAGCATTTCAACCAAGTCCTGTTTCCCTTCTATTTTCTATTTTTCTATTTCTGCAGAATTTCACCAAACTTTAGTTTTTCATTTTGCTCCATTCTTTCGCTTCTACACAATTTCATTTTTTTTAAAGCATCCAAGGTCAAGAAACCTTTGCAGATAAGCCTTGTACGGTCCTTCTAAACTAAATATTTTTTTTTTCCTCGAGAATGTCAATTTAGCTTGGTCTTTCCCCTTCCAGTGTCCTGGAGTTACCTTTCAGAATTTGTGGTCAGTGTGATCCCTGGGTGATATATGAGACACCATATATCTGGAGAAGAGAACCTTTGTACATCAGGATTGAACTGTGGAGTCCTCGGTGCTCTCTGAGTTTGGAGAGTTTTCTTGCAGATGTTTCATTAACCCAACTAGATAACATCATCTGCAAACCCCATGCCCTACTAGCACTGATGATGTTACCTACTTGGGTAACGAAGCGTCTGTAAGAAAACATCCAAGCTCAGAGAGCACCATGATTCCACAGTCGTCGTCTTCCTCCTCCTCCTCCTCCTCCTCCTCTCCATAAACCCCATTCACTTTTAGCA